CGTCATCAAGAATCTGAGCTTCAGTGACGCTGGGAAATGCTACTTGCATGTCTATTACTGTCACCAAACCGGTCCATGAACTTCCGTCTGCTTGCCACCAGAGGTCACCCTTCCACTACTATGGACTCTTGCACCACACCACTATTGCACTTCACCCGGACTACAGTTCCCATCATCCATTGCACTAATTATACACACACAGTATATTGCACACAGCACTGAGTGCACACAGCTGTTATCAATCACACCTTCCCTATATAACACTCACTCTGATCCCCGTCAAGCTGCCGAGTACTGTCTAGCATTTATCACTCTCTTAGCGATAGCTACTCTACGGAGCCTGTTTACTTTTCATAGCCTTAGCTTAGTCTTGCCTTGTGTCCTTATCTTCGCCTGTGTATCTCGGATTCCCCCTCTCGTCTTGCCATATTCTGATACTGTTTGCCCCTGCCTGGACCTTGCCTTGTACCTGGACTTATGTCTCTAGTCTTGCCCTATTGATCCTGTTCGCCGATCGTAGACCCATGCTAGCCCTAGGATATATTCTTGTGTCTTGCCTCCTACATAGCTGTTGCCATTATCTGACCCTTGCCTGTCTCTACCATTGTCTATTTATAAAGCTTTGCACTTGGATCCGCGTGTCTCGTCAGCCTCGTAACAATTACAATGATGATCAGACAGAACTGGAGCGACTAATCAGGACGTACCATCTTCATATTCATGGTAAAGTCAAAACTGATCAGCATGTGTTTTCTGGTTTTCTTTAGTAATTGTGTGATATTTCATGTAACCAGCAGAGACTCTGAATATTAGTCACCAATATGGGTTTTTCTGATGGCTGATTTAATCTAAATAATGAATGATTACACTTGGTCCTCCAATCCTAAATATATGCTTATAAAATCAGTGCTCTGTCACTACTTTTCTCTTCCAGCTGTAGGCTACTGGATTGCACTGACTGTGGGTTTGGTTCTGCTGGCTCTGATTCTGACTGCTGTCACGTTACACAAGCGTCTGCTCAGAGGTTAACTGCTGGTGTCTCTCGAGGAGGAAAAGAGAGACTGAGCACAGGAGACCCAGAAGCACTGAGGGCCCATAATGATGTCTGCTGAGGGCCCCTCAGACTCTGATGAAACTGTAGAGGTGTGCAGGACATTAGTGACGTCACTGCTTAAGACTGGAACTCACCACACGACTTTTCCTTAATCAGTCTTAAATCATGCTTTTTACAGTCATTTTATGGTTTAGTATGTTCTCATAGACATTGCCCTGCCCTGCTCTGATGGAATTAATTTTATTTGTGCAGGTCTTAAAGTTGAGTTTAAAAATCCCCATCATACACTGCATCATACACATGGGTTTTGTGAAATGTGAACTCTCACTGAGCATAGTCTTAGTAACAATGTAGCTTCTGCTTCTTTACTTTACTTGTAATTTGCCTTCAGAGCCAACAGATCTGCAGAGGATTCTGGAACATACTTCTGCACTATATTTGTAATTTTCAGTACGTGAGCACATTTGGAGCAGAGCCCTACATCAGGAATCAGTTTAACTGTATCTGCGTTTAGTATTTGTGTAAAGCTGCCTTAAAGATCTGGACTGGTCACTTATACCAATCCTGATTCATTAACTAGGACTTATTGTTTCTATTCTAATCCATTAACAGAAAAAAATAGTAAAGTATTTATAATATAAATATAATTAGAATGTTATAATGTAAACAGTAAACATGCATATCTGCGCCAAACTGTGAAACACCAACAGTGTGCTTGTACATATGTATATTTTGTAAAACAAAATTCTATCTAGATATGTTTCTATTTATATGTTGCTTTTGTTTGCTTAATTGGGGATTTGCATTCTTCTTTGTAAATATGCTGTGAAAGAGTATATATTAAACTATTTTTGTAAGAAACATTTTTCTTGGTGTTGATTTGTTGGTTTGTATTTTTGTATGAATTAAATAGTTTTACTATTTTCTTTTACTAAGCTCAGAAAAATAATGCTTTATTGATAATATTATGATAAATATGTAGATGTTAAATTAGTTTACATCTCGTGCTGAAACTGTTGAGATCAGACTGAAATCATCAGAGATCTTGTTCAGAATAAACTTCAGCTGACTGTATCTGGACTCACACACTGTTTTTAGCCAAATGTCTATCTATGTAAGATATTAGATCTCACATCTTCTGACAGCTCAGTCTGCTTTGATAGAATAACCAGCAGAGGGCAATAAACACCAATCACACTCTTCCTTTAGTGGGAGGAGCCAACCACACTCCTCCTTTAGTGGGAGGAGCCAACCATACTCTTCATTTAGTGGGAGGAGCCAAACATACTCCTCCTTTAGTGGGAGGAGCCAACCACACCCCTTGTAGGAATGATACTTTCGGTTTTGGTTTTGCTTCGATCTCACTAAACGCAGTGGTTTATGAAATTTAAACAGCCAGAATATAAAACTCGTGCAGAACTTTTACAATGTAGGTTTCTTTTATCCTTTTAAATATAAAGCTTGTGTGTTTTTGCCTCATATCAATAGTTGTGTTTATTTGTGGAATAGGGTTGTCTGCTAAAGATGCTAACGTTAAGGAAATAAGTGAACATGTTTATCATTATGCTGATGAACAAAGATTATGCTAATGTTTTTTATTAGTGTGATTTCTACGTTGATGTGTGGATTGTTTGGTTACTCTGTCTGTTTGTGTCCATTGGGCTTTTGGGTTTGACAGATCATGTTATATTTATAAAACCAAAGACTCAGATTATAGTTTGATGTTTCTTAGACATTTTTATCATGTAAGACCCACATGTGTTAAATCTTTAAATAACACTGAAGCTGAAGGTTTGTAGTCGCTGTATTGTGGTCAGTTCTGTAATATTTGTCCACTCAGCAGTATTTTATGGCTGTATTAATGTGTTTGTGATGTGTGTCTGTATCTGTCTCATAACAGCTCTTATTCTCAACAGGTTTAACCGGTTGAATCTTGTGCTGTTTTGTCTCGTCTATCACAGCGGTCAGTGTACTTTATGTTCATAAACTCTATTTATTCTTGTGTTCAGCGTCAGCTAGAGTTATTCTAGTGAATTATTTCTCTGTTGTGTCACTCAGTGAAGACTTGTGTTAACATTTGTGGATTGATGGTGGAAATATTCACTGGTTTATCATTCAGTTCATTTATTAATAAACATTGTTCAGGAATTCATTACAACTGCACTCGTACATCTGCTGCAGCTTTATATTATTTTCATCAACATTTGAAATGTTAAAATGTGCCACTGCTAATATTGCTCGCTCTTATTGCCCTCGTTTATATTTTTTATAAATTTTTTATAACAAATATCTTTGCTGCAAAGTGCTGTGTTCATTATTATAAACAATTGCTGTCCTTTTTTTGGTAAAAGCAGGAAAGAGTTCAAGCTAAGTAGTTTATAAGGTAAAGCTCTGGTCGCTGCATTTAGACTTCTGACTGAACCTGCTGCTTTCTATTAATTCATCAACCAGATCTCATTAGTCATTAGTGCTTGAGATTGAGCATTTAATGCTTTTATTTCATGAAGAGACAATGAAGTAACCTGAGGTTAAGTGTTTAGATGAAGAGCACAAAGACAAAATAGATCATGTCTCTGATGAGCAATGAGCATCCTTAATATTTACATTCATTTCTGATGCTGAATATTAGAGAAACTCCTCCATCAGTTCACAGCTGATGAATCCACTTAGATGTGTGAAGAAATATCTTCAGCAAAAGAAAATACAGTTGACTAAATTAACTCTTATTAGAATATTTTATAATAACATTAATTACTGAGAATAGACAGAAACACATTTTTCAGTATTGATATTTTCTATTGAATGAATATTATACTCTCTGTATTTGCAGGAAACACCTCTATATCTGTGAGAGGAAAAAATGGAGTAAATGTCACACTAACATGTGAATCTGAGGTCAATAATATTGTTCACACTGAGTTATTCAGTGAGTCAGAAGAGATAGATGTGTGTCAGGATGAAGAATGTAGTGTTCGAGTGTTTAAAGAAGGAAACTGTGACGTCGTCATCAAGAATCTGAGCTTCAGTGACGCTGGGAAATACTACTTGCATGTCTATTACACTAATGATCAGACAGAGCTGAAGCGACTAATCAGGACGTACCATCTTCATATTCATGGTAAAGACATAACTGATCAAACATCAGCATCTGCTTTTTTAAATGATTACATTTGGTCATCAATCATAAATATGTGTTTATGGCTTTGATTGATTGACAGCATTATAATAATAATTAATGTCTCTCTGTTTCTCCTCAGATGAGATTACTGTGAAAACAGGCGAGGAGCTAAAGATGTCTGTTCTGTTGTCTAATGCTGATAAAGTGGAGAAAAGCTCTAGTGGAGAGTGGAGGGAGGTTTGGAAGAGAGACCACGGGGTCTGGAGTAACCGACTGATGGATACTGATGGGAATCTGATCATTAAATCATTTCTGGACAGAGATGCAGGAACATACAGAGTTCTGGACACTGAAGGAGAAATCTTGATCACACTCACAGTCACAGGTGAGAGAAACTCAGATTTGTGGAAATATTATTAATAAAGCATGTGGACAGCTGAGGTTTATTCATCATGATCTGAACATCACATTGATGCTGAACTGTGAGACTGACCTCTCAATATCTTCTAGAATCAGGTACAGAATCAAAGGACAAACTGAGCTTCACAGATAAAGACAAAACTGAAGACACTGAACAACAGAGTAAGTAAAACAAGCTTTACAAAATCCTCAAGCAGTGAGTTTAATAATGAAAAAATATTTTTAAACAATTGTACTCTTCCCACATTTCCCCTTCCATCTGCAGCGAAATGGATTGTGCCAGTTGTAGTGTGTTTGGTGATTCTGGCTGTGAATGTGATTTCTGTCATCATATGGCGACATCAGCACAGAGGTCACACACAGGTTCCAGTACAGGAGAATACAGAGCCTCCACACATACTGTAGAAACTGGAGAAATCTAGTAGAATGCAGTAGAATTACCAGAAATCATCATAGATAAAGGTGATCAACGTTATGTTTATTTGCACTGATCATTCACTCTAAGACCAGCAGAATATGAATATGATCCCACAGCATAACAGAGCAACTAGATCCTCTGATTTTACTGTAATTTATATGTATTTCTATGTATGTTCTGCACTATCATGTTTCTTTCCATCTTCAGAGTTTTTTCTTGCTGCTGTTGCCTGTTACTATTCTTTGTAAAGCTGTATTAAAACAATATGCAGTGAGAAAGATGCAATACAATTTTTATTTCAGTTTTCTTTTTGAAAAGGAATCAGCTGATTTATAAATGTTATGATCACTTTTACAGTAATATTCTTATTGTTTGTAATGATGTATTTTAATATGGAATTTGATAATATTTTACTTTTGTTATGTTTTTGTCTGTTATTTAACTTAAAATCAAGAAACAACAAATGGACTTTACACTCTTATTGTTCTTTATAAACTGCACCAAATGAATTAATATGCGTTTAGGATTAAAACATATCTATAAGTCCTTCTGTCTGTCTGTAAGTACCTCACTGTGACTGTCAAGGTTTTTATAATCAGATATGTGCAGATGAGAGCAGTCATGTCTTGTGAGTTCAGCTATTGTTTTGCTCTGTTTGTGACTCTATTGAAGGAATATTGCAAATCAAGATCTGTGGCATCCGCGATCTCTTTAAAAAGATGTTTGTGAATTAAACATGAGACACTGTTCTTCATCATTACAGTATGATACTGACTACAGTCTCTGGTGCATTAATCAAGTTTTTAAATATATATATATTTTTAACTGTCTTTTTCTTTTCTTAGAGTTGTATTTCTCTCATGTTTAACATTGTTTTGTTCAGGGTATAAGAGGGAAAATTAAGATTTTCTGTACAGTATGTCATTCTGTTCTACTTTCTGTATGTTTAAACATTTTAATAAATGACTTTACCTGCTTTAAAAGTTTTGAGAATCTGTCCTTCAGCGTGAGCGTCCTGCCTCACGTTACCTCAGAAAACAATCACCTCGTCCTTCAGTTTAAGAAAAATCAACACCAGAAAACATGAACTGTTCTGAAAGTTTAGCCAGAACACTTAAACATTACATGTGTTAATATGAGACTGATGTATAACTGTGCTCTGTGTAACGTTACATACACTATTTCTCATAACTCATCTTACGACATGTAAACCAAGAAGAGACATGATTTATTTTTTGTAAAGTACTTTTATGTAATATGATGAACATTAATAATTAAAGGGGTCATATGATGTTGCTAAAAATAACATTATTTTGTGTATTTGGTGTAATGAAATGTGTTTATGCAGTTTAAAGTAAAAAAAACACATTATTTTCCACATACTGTACATTATTATTGCTCCTCTATGCCCCCATTTAAACCGGAAGCTTTAGAGAAAAATGTTAGGTAACACTTTAGTGTAGAGACCAATTCTCACTAAATGTTTCTTATTAAATATTTATGCATGTATTTAAATATTCTGCATGACCATATTCTACATCCCTAATCCCAATACCTAAACTTAACTTACTAACTATTAATAAACAGAAAATTAAGAGCTTATTGAGACAAATGCTGTAGTTACATGTAAGATTGTTTACATTTAATTTATTATTTTAAATATAAATCCAGCCTGTGTTTTTGTGTTTCTATAACAATTGTTGTGTTTCTGATTCTGGGAAACTAAACCTGCCAGTGATACCAAGCAGATTAAACAAAATATTAATGCATAACATATCCATAACTGTGATAAGATGATATGACAATTATTATGATGACGGTTTTAATTAATGGGGTTATTAATATAATCATTAGATTGTTACTGAATTTCTAAAACCTGTTGTTTGTGTATTGGGTCTTTTGGTTTGAGAAATCATTTGAACTATTACACGAGAATCATTCACAATCTCAGGAAAAAAGGTACAAAAGCTATCAGTGGGGTTGTACCCTCATAATCTAGTTACCCAGATTACTTTTTGAAAGGGTGCCACCCCAGTGACAGCTTTTGTACCTTTTATTTCTGAGAATTATAGTCTGGTGTTTTTTATTGGGCAGTTTTGGTATGTAAGATTCACATGTTAAATATTCAGACAAAATGAAAGTGAAAGTTTTTTGTTTGTATTTTAATCTCAGGGAAGCATCTCATATCCCTGTATGAATGTCTCAGTGACGCATCTGTGACGTCACATCTCTTCTGTTTTCTCATCAGGTTCAAACGCTTGAATCTGCTGCTGCTGCTGCTGTGCCTTTTCAATTATAGCCGTCAGTATTCAGTCATTTTAGTTAATAAATTGTAACAATTTTTGATTTTCATTGTCAGGTAGAGTTACTCTAGTTTATTGTTTCTCTGCTGAATTAATTTATTTGTTCAGGAATTCAATACAACTGCACTGACCCATCTGATACTATTATCAGCAACAATTGAAATGTTAAAATTTTGCATATTGTTGGATCCTTAATGCTTTCATTTATATACTTTTATATTATTATTATTGTCCAGTTGACTAAAATAACTCATTTTTTATGATACAGAGAATAGAGAGAAATGCCACATGTATTTTTCAGTATTGATACTTTGTATTGAATGAGTATTATGCTGTATGTATTTGCAGGAACCATCACTAGATCTGTGAAAGGAATAAAGGGAGGCAACGCCGTTAATTATATTGATTTAAGCAGGTTAACAAGCATCCTTTCTTGTCAGAATGAAGAATGTGAAAGTGAAAGTGAGAGTCAAAATGGGCGAGTATTTAAAAAAGGATCATGTGACGTGATTATCAAGGATCTGAGACTGAGTGACGCTGGGAAATACATTTTAAGAGTCTATTACACTAATACTCAGGCAGAAGTGAAGCGTCAAATCAGGACGTACCAACTTCATTTTCAGGGTAATGTCAAAACTGATCAACATGGGCTTTCTGTTTTTCCTTTAGTAATTGTGTTGGTGTTGCATGAGGGCCAGTAACCGGCAGAGACACTAATGTGATGCTAATTTGTAGACGAGTCGTCTCCAATATAGACTTTACAATGCTTATTTTTAAATTATTACATTTGGTCCCAGTCCTAAATATGTGCTTATAGCCTTGATTGATTGACACCATTATAATACTAATAATAAATGTCTTTGTTTCTCCTCAGATGAGATTTCAGTGAAGAAAGGTGAGGAGCTGAAGTTGGATGTTCTGTTGCCCAATGCTTATAAAGTAGTGTACTGGACCAAAAGAAGCACAGGGCGGAAGGAGGACTGGAATAGAAGCCACGGGGTCAGAAGTGATCGAATGACCATCAGAGATGGAAACCTGATCATTAATAATTTTACAGCCACTGACGCTGGAACATATGAGGTTCTGGACTCTGAAGGAGAAATCCTGATCATGGTGACAGTCACAGGTGAGAGAAGCTCAGTGGATGCTTAGAAATATCATTATGAAGCATTTAAACTGGTAAGATTACATCAGATTGATGCCTAAACCGAATGACTAACCTTTCAACATCACCTACAGAATCAAAGGACAAAATGAACTACGTACATGATGACACACAGCAACATAGTAAGTAAAACAAGAGGCATTGAGAGCTTTACAAACTCTTTAAACATTGAGTTTATTGATTGATTAATTAATGTGCTCTCTTCCCAGCTTCACTCCTTCCACCTGAAGCATATTGGATCGTCCCAGTTGAACTGTCAGTGGTTTTGGTGATTCTGGTTGCTTTAAAAAGAAAAAGGATGCACAGATGTCCAGGGGCACAACTGCACTTTTGCTGAGGGGTTTGCAAGATCATTGTCAGAGATGGGCATAAATACATGAAAATGCATTAAAAATACAAATACAAAATACTGTGTGGAAACATTTATTTAAATGCAAATGACATTAGATTTTTTTCAAAGGCTTTAAAACACAAAACAAGTATTTTGTATTTCAAATACATATTTTAAATACATGTATCTGAAATGCTGTCCCCAGTGTTGTGGGCCCCGCCAAAAAAAAAAAAAAAGGATAAATAAATAAATAGCTATTGTTTTAATAAGCCACCAACATTTTTATTTCAGCATTCTTGATTTCAATTTTGATACCACAGCAAAATGTAATTTGTTTCATCTGTTGTAGGAAAATTAATGTTTTACTCATTCTTATTTACTTTCTTAGACATTGTGTGGGTTTTTATATTTATTTTTTTATATTTCCTTTTGATTTAACTTGTGTTTCTCTCAATATGTATATGTATCACCTGGAATGCAACAAAGACATCACACAGTAAAACAGAGAGCCTTTGAACTCTTCAGTGCAGGAAAGACAGAGGGGTTAGTACTTTTGGCCTCACGGGTGTGAAGGCACACAAACACACACACAGTAAAAACAAATGATCAGAAAGAGCCTTTGAACTCTTCAGTGCAGGAAAGACAGGGGGGTTGTTGACCTCACAGATGTGAAGATAATAAAAGCCCAGGGGGGTTAGAAGGACCATTGTTTTTTCTGAATACAGCTAGGTGTGGTTTAAGGAAAACCTGCAAGAAGTGGGGGTGATAACAGTATAATAAGGCTGTCTGCTTTCAGTGTGATTTCAGGTCTGTTGTGTTTCAGGGTAGCTGCTGAAACATGAACATACCTCTTTAAGGAAAATAAACTTCTTTCCTTAAATATAATTTGATTCCTTGTCTCTTACTCTGTGATGCTATTTTGTTAATAATTGTTTTTGCCACAACACATCATATGCCATAACTATGCATGAATATACACTAGACAAATGGTGCGTATTTTTAAACACCATATTTTAATTATTCTCAGGTTAGGTAAAGTTAAATCTGTCCTACATCATAAGCATCTGAGTTTTCATACTTACAATAAATAGGTCACAGAAGACTTCTCCGTGGTCTGTTCTGCTCAAGTTTAGAAATCAGAGACTTTTGGCAGGCAAGCTTCTTGGTTTTAATTACATATCATTTTATTGACTACAGCTTAACTACTTTACATAACAAAAAAATAACAAAAGCAAATAGTTTATCATCTGATGCATTTCAGTCGTTTATGAACAGCTTGTCGATTTCTTGAGACGTCATGTAATCCTCTCAGAATCTGTTTCTAAGACCCTTCGCCTCTTCGTTTTTCTTCTTCAGGATTCTTTCCCTTTGCTGCCTCCTGTGCTTTGTCTGCGATACAACATCTAATACTGCCTTTTTCCCCTTTCTTCTTCTTTTCTTTCTT